TTGGATGTTCACACCATCAATTTTTAAATTTAATGACTTGTATGGTTTAAGTCTCTAAGAATGAAAAAGAACAAAATTAGTTCTCAAAATACTGAGAGCTGGTCTATTAGATTTCATCCACTCAGCCACTGCATGAAGCTCTTGATTTAGGATTAGTTCAAGATCATTAAGGTTTTTACGTGAACAATATAGATTAGTGTCATCAGCAAATAAGTGAAAACTGAGCAGTTTCGAGGTGTTCGGTAAATCATTAATGTATAGCAAAAACAACAGGGATCCCTGAGGTACTCCAGAGGTGATTGAGACAGAATCAGAGTTATAGTCATTTATACATACAAATTGTTCTCTATTGGACAGATACGATTGAAACCAGTCATAGGCTTTACCCCTCACTCTGAGTCAGTTTTGATAAAAGAATGAAATTATTAACTGTATCAAATGCCTTTTTTTATCAATAAAAATGCCATAGCCAAACTCATCGTTGTCAATTGAGTTACGGATTGATTCAGTAATTTGTATCAGGCACGATTTGTAGAGCACTTTTGCCTAAAGCCAAATTGGAGTGAATAAAGAATGTTACGAGATTCAAGATAACCATAAAGGCGCTTAAACATAGCCTTTTCAAAGATTTTACTAAAGATAGATAGAACTGATATTGGCCTAACCTTTCTTAAAAACTGGGGTAACTTTTGCCAATTTAAGTTTACTGGGGAGAATACACAGAGGAAAGAATCATTAATTAGGGATGAAATAAGTGGGAAAATATGAGTCTTAAGAATTTTTAGCAATGTGACTGGAATACTATAGGGACCAATCGATTTGTTATTGTCCATTTGAGATATGCATGAATCAACTTCAACCGAAGTAACAGGGGAGAGAAACATTGAGTCAGGAAAATTGCCCTTCAGAAAAGAGGTAAGACAACAGTTCCCACACGGAATATCTTTGTCAGTGTTTTTACCCACATCAACAAAGAAGTTTAACATCTTGTTATTAGTTTAATTAAACGTTGTGCCTCTCGAGAAACTAAAGTGTGTAAAGCAATCAACCAACTGAAATTCAAATGTTGCTATAATAGTAAGCAAATACTCACTTCGCACTCAGCATTAAGGCTATGAGTCCAGAGGCCATTGCTGCAGCGGCTGAACTGGCGCCAAAATCTCCTGTACAGGCCTTGTTTGTATCAGCTGTAATCTGTATATTAAAAGACATAACGGCAAGGTGAAACGTAGGGAAAGTATGCAGTGTTCAATAACCTATGGACTCTATGCAATGGGTTTTAAACAGTTGACCATTTCTCCAATTTTTATTTCAGTTTAAATTAGTTTAATTATTTTATAATTATATGAAGAAACTTGGCGGGCTACTCAGGGACCCGCGATTACCCGGAGCCTCCTGATATATTTTTACATACTCTTGGGACCAATTCTCTGATATTTTCAATATTTTGATAAGCTGATATTTGATATTTGTGAGTAGTCCATTTAAACTCTAGAAGATGATTTACTTTAGAAATCCATTTATTTTTTTAATGTTAATGCTATTGTAGACATTTAGACATTGCATCTAGGTTTTTCTATTCTTTAAGATGTCTCAAATGTCTTTTTAAAAAAGACAATGATGTACTTATTTTAATAAGTACATCATTATACGTATTTGGGCGGGGCCTTAATAGCACGGTCTAACGACGCACCACTTTCCTGCTTCCTTCAAACATATCCTTTGTATAGGTTACCGCTATAATGCCAGCACAAGGTTCTGCGAATGCTGGAATGGAACCGTCGCTCTTTATACCCGATATTGCAATTGTGTATATATTGTTCACGTAGCCATTAAATGCACAACTGTCTTTGACGAGGACACCTCCATTGCCCGCAGCAAACACGTAGATTGATCCAAGACCTTTGCGTCCCTAAAAATCAACAGGCCACGTAAATAGTTCGCAAACTAAAGCGTTTATTACGAAAGATATGTTTGACGAGAAAATGAATGAAATATACCCAATACAGTATATTGCAGTCGAGAAGACTAATAGAAAATGAGAAATATGTTATAGAAAAATATAAGAAATCGGTTAGACATAATGAGGTAGGTCCGAGTTTTCTATCTTCCCAGCAGGGGGGGTGGGGGGTGGGTGTACTCCCTGTGATGGCTTATAAGGGAAGGACTAAAAAGGAGAAGTCCAAAGACTACCGCAAAGCTGATCAGAACAACGGGTATTGTTTTTTCATAACAATATTTCGGGTGGTCATACCAGCCTTCTTCAGGTTTACAGATGTGACTGAATTCATGATAGGAATCACAATAGTGTTCAGAAACAGTACTAAAGAAAATTCATTCTTCACGTGACTAAGTTCGCCAGGCTAGGGAGTCGCATTTGATAGATAAGGCCATGACAATTGAACCTAATGGCCTAAGCCGCCGTGAGTGATTTGTCTGGTTAATTCCGTTAACGAACGAGAGTGATTTCTCTGGTTAATTCCGTTAACGAACGAGACCTTAACCTGCTAAATAGTTACGCGAATCTCTATTCGTGGTAAACTTCTTAGGGACTTGAGGTATCCAACCAGTCAGGAAGGCGTGAGTCTCCCCGTATAAACATATTTTTAGTACCTTCCCTCCCCTCGGGCTTCCCAGCACAATCTGTTTAGTTCCGTTCACCTTTTGCCAAAGTTTCAACAAAAAAGTTAATTTCTATGGCAATAAAAAGTGTTAGCTTAGAGCTTACAGAAATCTAAATTTGAGGGAAATTTTGTGGCATGAATGCTCAATTTTGGATTGATTTTGGCAGTCTGTTATAAGAATTTGCGACCTTGAAATGGACAGTAACTCTCATCAAGTAAAAGAGTATGATGATAACAATGGTATAATAATAATGTTCCAACTAATTATTAAAAAGTCACCTTTTCTGCGCCTTTTTTTAATGCTCGCTGGGTCAAGTAACCAGGGCCCTCAACTTCAAGCCCCTTGTCATTTGGTCCCCAACTATTTGAATATATGTCAATGAGATTTGTGGCGTGACTGAGAGCTCTGGCAGTATCAGCATCGGATGCTTTCTCCTTAAAAAACAGGCGAATGCCTTGGAAATATGAACAGAATAGAAATTAAGTGAGCTTCAACAACAAATCCACTGTCTAATAGAATGGTTTCCTTCTCGATTTAGCTGCTAATTATAATAGTAATTGTAATTGTAATCTGTTTACCCACGGAGCACTTAGGCGACTTAGGCGTTCTAGTCGAGGAGCAGAGGCCGGAAAAAATACAACATCGTAGCACCCCCACCACACAAAAGGTTTGACAACAGATTCAGATAGCCAAATACCCACAGATCACTTATTCAACATTCGGATCTACAAATTGTGGGGTCAGTGACTTGGTACGCTGCGATTTCTGAGGGGGGTGGGGGGTATTTTAAAGCATCAAATTTCAGCATTTTCGCACAGGGTTAAAACTTTGAAAAATCATATCTTTTTACTTAATCAGGCAAATGGGTTAGTATTTGGCCAACGCGTTTTAATCCATAAGAGCTACAATCTCAGATGTATTTTGTGCCTTTTTTGCGTTGCCATGGTAACGGTTTATAAGGAAACTTTCTCTATGGGGTCTAACGTCAATAATAACGGATGTTTTGACTTCCGCGACAAATATACATTGCCGATGTACTTAGAATGTGCTTACAATTGATATTTACTAATTCTAGAGAACCGTTTGTATAAGATTTTTTACAAATTTGCAGATCAAACCATTCCATTGTCTTGTAACGAATCATGAAAGTTGTCATAATTGCCTCTAAACCCTATTTTCCTATTGTTACCAATTAAAACCTTTGAAAAATCATATCTTAAAGACTAAACATTGTTCAACGATGAAACTATGGACAGTCATGTAACTTTATAAGCTCTTTCATTTTAAAACATTTTCGCGAAATGATCCTTGTTTCCATGGCAACGGTTGCTAAGATGCGTTTTTTGTAAGCAATGCCCCTTTTAAAGAAGATCGAACAGAGATGTGGGTTAAATAAAGCAATTTAAAACAAAAGTTAATAGAAAAATTAAAATAAGTTTTTTTTACCGGTTTGAGGAATGCTGAATGACTCCCTTAAACGTTTTCGTCATATGCCTAAAGATACAATCATTTGGCTAAAATGTAATACAGTATCAACACAAACAAGTCTTTATAGGTGTTTTTTTCTCGTGTGTGTCTAGAAATGTTAATCACTGCAGAGTCTTTAGTAAAGATTTGGATACAAATACATATCTTTTGAAACGGTATTGTTATATTTGACGTTATTATTATCTCTGTGTCTTGAGAGGCTTTTTTTTTTTCTTTCTTGAGTATTGTACCGAAAATTTAATACAAAATTATTGAAATACTTGATTTTTTAGTTGCTTAGATTTTGTGTAATTTGCGGTAAAGCTCTTAAAGCTTTTACAATCAACTTTTATGAGGGTTATTTTTTCCGTAAATCCTCTTAAGTTGATTTCTTATTCATTCCTCCTTTTCATTCCTATGATGCCTTTGATGCATATCCCGAATTGCTTTGCGAGTAGCATCCGCCATTTTAACTGCGGGATCGATTTAATCTTCAAAAGGTAAGAATTATGCGGTTTTTTGCTTCCATTTTGCTACTTTTAATCGCGTTAAACACTTATTTTTTTATTGTTGACATGCTAGGTGTAGCTTAAAAGATTTTTCAGAGTTGATTAGTTGATTATTTTACTGAGCTCATGAACTAAAGAAAATTGTTCTTTATAATCTCTGTAAGTTCTTTGTGAAAATCGAAAACAACAGTCCTTGTTTTTATAACCAATCCAATATAAACTGAACCATTGATCTTTAAAACATGTGTTTGATTATAAATTCTGAAGCAATTACCTTTTTTTAGATATACGTATACTGTATGTATAGAGAATTTCCCGGTGTGTTTGCTTTAGTAACACTTGAGGACTTTTTGTCGGTAAAGTTGTGATAGATAGTTTTCCTCCTTTAAAATATTAGATATGGCGGATTCTGAAGATGAGCCACAAGAAGCCAAGAAGGCAAAAGTAGACAGGACTTCCAGGTTCACATATGAAAGTGTAGATTGGTCAATATGTATATTTTGCCAGAAAAAGAAGTACAAAGGCGTAAAAGAGCTTATAAGTGTTGCCAGCTTTGATTCTTGTAAAGCGATTGTAGACGCTGCTATTGCTCGTGATGACCAGCGATTGCTTTTAAATATCAAAGGCGTTGATTTGATAGCGAAAGAAGCGAAGTATCACGGAAAATGTCGAAGCAAATATGTCAGTAAGACAAACCTAAAATGTCTCAGTTACAAGGAAGACAATGAAGAGGAGGAGTGTATGTATTCCGCAGCGTTTGCTATGTTAGTGGATGAAATTACTCCTGGATTATCTTAAGGAAAGATTTATGACATGAGCCATTTGTTAGACCGCTATAAGCAGGTATTGGAAGTCAAAGGCATTTCTTGCACCAATTATCGCAGCGAAAAGCTCAAAAGAAGAATGAGAGGCCATTTCTTAGACCAAATAGTCATCGAGAAGCAGAACGACCCTTCGAAGCCCGAATTAATTTATTCCAGTCATTTGTCAGTTGCAGACATAGTAAAGACATCAGTCTCTCAGCAGTCCAGTGAAGATTTTGAAGTCGATGAGGACACGAGACAGGATATGGAAAAGGATAAGGCTAGCATTTTGTACCAAGCAGCCCAGATAATAAAGAATGACATCAAACAGTGCAATGGTATTTCAATCAAGCCATTGTGTGTAGACGATGTGTCCATAGAGAAGGGCAGGTGTCTAATACCGGAAAGCCTTTACAGTTTTCTTTCAGAGGTTATCTCTAGGCAAGACAAAAAGGCCACTACCGTGTCGGATGGAGCTACTCTTAGTGCTGAGAAAGGAAGACGCGTAGTTATGCTAGGTCAGGATATAATTCATGCCGCGACCAATAGTCAGGTGAAAACACCGAAACACGTAGGTTTGGCAGTCACCATACATCATTTAACAGGGTCTAAGGAAGTCGTGACTTTGTTAAACAGAATGGGGCACTGTTCTTCATATGATGATGTCGAAATCGTAAACACAGCGTGGGCAAGAGAGATGGAGGCACGGAGCCAACAAACTGGAATAGTCATCCCATCAAACATTACCGTCGGCCCATTTGTCCAATTCGCTGCCGACAATAATGACTTCAACGAGGAAACTCTAGATGGCAAACAAACTACACACGCCACAACGCTAGTAGTGTATCAGCGTCAGCCTTTTGGACCCCAACTCCCACCGAAGATCCAGGCCGACCACTCCTCTAGAAGAAGATCTTTAGAGCAGCCAGTTCAGGGTCAACTCATGCACGAGTGCAGTGTGCATGGTAAGCGTCCTGCGTTGACCTCTTTCGTAGGAAGGGCAGAAGACAACTTTGAATGTAGAGACGATTGCACAACAACTCAGAATGTAAGAGAACTGGCATGGTTTCTGCTCAGGCTGAATAGAAAAAACGTATTGAAGGCCGATGATACCTATGGAGAGCAATCAGTTTCCGGATGGAGCGCATTCAATGCCGAAATGTCTTCCATCACGTTGCCTCGCACCGTCATTGGGTACTGCCCGATGATTGCTGGATCGCCAACAGAGTACAGTACCATCTATACGGTACTTAAAACAGTGCAAGAAATGTCCAAACATCTCCAGCAGAACACTGCAGTAATCACATTTGATCAGGCAATTTATTCCAAGGCAAAGGAAATCCACTGGCGTTATCCAGAAGAGTTCCAAAACCTGGTGATTCGCTTAGGAGGGTTTCACATTGCACTCAATTATTTGGCCTTGATCGGAAAGATGTTCCAGGAGAGTGGCTTGGAGGATGTGTTTATAGAGTCTGGCCTCTACGGATCGAGCTCTACTATGGCACTATTGCAGGGAAAATCGTACAACAGGGGAATTAGAGGACACAAATTGATTATGGAGGCGCTACTGCGTTTGAAATGGGACGCATTTTGCTCCTGGGTTAGTAAAGGAGGAGGTGAAGAAGTCGAAAGCGAAGGAGGTGCGATTCTAAATCTCGTTGACTCTGTCATAGAGCGCTACAGAACAGCAACAACAGCTGAAGAGAAGAAAGAGGCCTATTTGCTGCTTTGTAACACCGCCAACCGTGTTGAGGACTTATTGACGCGGTTTAAACAAGAAACGTCATCGAAACTTTTCAAGTTTTGGGACAAGTACATCGAGATGATTCTCCTTCTCCTAGAGTTCATTCGAGCAGAACGAGAGGGTGACTGGGAGTTACATCTTAAGGTTACAACAAAGATGATTCCTTATTTTTTTGCAATGGATCGCATGAATTACTCCCGGTGGTTGCCTGTTCATATTATGGATATGCGCAATCTGCAAGAAAAAGCTCTAGACGTCTACAACGAGTTCCTTAGAGGGAATCACACTGTCAGCAGGTCAACTTCACAGTCATTTAACCAAGTCTGGACGGACATGGCTCTCGAACAGAGCATTAACCTTGACAGTAAAACTAAAGGTGGCATAATCGGTATTACGCAAAGGCCAAGCGCTCTCCAGAAATGGTTTTTGACAGCACACGAGAGAACAGCAACCACGACTGCTACCAAAAGAATGATAGATTTGGATGAATCTACAAGAAGTACACACAAGGAATCATCAAAAGTCAGAGTTCAAAGAGACGAAAATGACATCAAGAAGGTCATGCACACTCTGCAGACAGTGATGTCTAATCCGTTCGATGAAGATGCGTACAGAGAGGACGTTCCACTAATGAACCTTGCTACGGGAGTAGTTATGCCAGAGGAGATATCAGAGCAACTTATTGATGCCCAATGTCTAGGAGCAGCGAGGATGAAGTTATTTGTGAGCAAGCGTATCAATACCAATGAAGTTGGCTTTTGGGAACCGATGGAAAAGATGAACATAAAAACCTTTGCAAGTTTGTCAAAGAAAGCAAAGGTTAAGTCCGTGGATGAGAAGCTTGTAACAGTAAGCGCGGACAGAAACTTGTTTGGGCGGCTTTTGATAGCTTCGCGGTCAAGGGATATCGACTTGAGAGAAGTGTTAAAGTACGAGCTGGACTCTGTCCCTTGCGCACTGGCTCATCCTGATGGATCGTTACGGAAAACTACTAGAAGTGTGTTCCTGGGGATACTCGAGGAACAAGTACAAGCGCTACCCAGACTACCAGTAGATGATAGAATATCAACTGCGTATGTGATAGATGGCATGGTAGTGGTGCAAATGATGAAGAACGCAGGCTCGGCCACATTTGGAGAGCTCGCTAACAGGTACTTCCAGTTGATAACCGCTCATCTCGGAAATAATGGCTGTAATCGTGTGGATGTAGTTTTTGATCGCTATGACAAGGAAGACTCGATCAAGGAAGCAGAGCGTGCTCGAAGGGGATCATCATCAAGCTTTGAGGTGCGAATATCGGGCCCATCCACTCCAGTTCCCAAGAAGTGGCAAAACTTCATCTCCAACCCTGTGAACAAGACCAACCTAAAGGCGTTTCTTGGCAGTACGTGGAAAGAGATGACAAAGACAAGGCTTGCAGGGGGCCAGAAATTGGTGTTGGCAGGGTGTTTCATTCACAGCGATGACACGTTCGCTGTCACTCAAAATCAAGAAACTCCTTTGCTTCATTTATCATCCGATCATGAAGAGGCTGACACAAGAATGCTTTTGCACGCAAGTGACTGTTCAAGAGACCACCAAAGGATTGTGGTGCAATCCCCTGATACTGACGTTGCAGCTCTCTGTGTTTATGCATGTAACATGATCAATACCCAGCAGTTATGGTTTCGTACTGGTGTTAAAGACAAGCTTCGTTTCCTACCAGTACACCGTCTAGCGGAGAAGCTAGGTGAGGATCTCTGCCGTCTTATTCCCTCGTTCCACGCATTGACAGGATGTGACTCAACTAGTGCGCTGTATCAAATTGGAAAGCGAAAGGCCTGGAAAGCTTTATTACAAACAAAGGATGTGTATGTAGATCTGGCGGGCTTAGGTGACAACGTACCACCACTTCAAAGTGTAGCAAAGACGGCTGAAGCGTTCATAAGCTCTTTGTATGCCATCCCATCAAGAGCTGGTACAACAGCAGATGATGTAAGGTATACTCACGGTCAAATCATTAATTTTATGTAACTTATTAGTTATTAAAAGTGCATGTCAACAGCAAAAAAAATCCTTCCCTCAAAATGCTTTTGTGTTTTCTAGGTACTGGGTGTTCTGTCAGAGAAAACAGAAAAACAATGGACTGCCGCCTACCTCTGACAGTCTCCAGCTGCATATTCAGCGTGCCAATTACCAAGCAATGATTTGGAAGCGATGTCTGCAAGCCTTTCAGCAATTACCACAGCCAATGGGAAATGGGTGGGAGAAGGGCGATGACGGCTCCCTGAAGCCCCTTCTAATGACCAGGGATGCTGCCCCAAAGGGATTAGCAGAGCTCACTGTCTGCAAATGCATAAAGACAGCCTGCAAGTCCGCTTCTTGCGTTTGCAGAGTCAATGAGTTGTCGTGCACAGAGGCTTGTGCTTGCATGGCCTGTGATTGTGAAAATCCTCACACTGGTTTCGATGAATTAGAGTGTGCGAGTGATGACGAGGAGTAGATTGTCAATTAGTTGAAGTAATGCTTTTGAAGTGAAACGCAAATGGAAAAGAGCCTGTAATATCTGATTGCTATTGAACCTATGGCACAGGATCCTGTAGTTTCTGTTGCTTGAATAAAGACATTGGTAACAGTTAAATCTATAGAATATGTGGTTTCTTCAGTTCTACTTCAGCAAATCGCGTTATATCGGCTACAAAATCAGTGGTAATTACTTTGACTCCATACATAAACTCAGTTAAAAGTAATTAAGGGAGTCATTCAGCATTCCTCAAACGGGTGAAAAAAACTTATTTAATTTTTCTATTAACTTTTGTTTTAAATTGCTTTATTTAACCCACATCTCTGTTCGATCTTCTTTAAAAGGGGCATTGCTTACAAAAAACGCATCTTAGCAACCGTTGCCATGGAAACAAGGATCATTTCGCGAAAATGTTTTAAAATGAAAGAGCTTATAAAGTTACATGACTGTCCATAGTTTCATCGTTGAACAATGTTTAGTCTTTAAGATATGATTTTTCAAAGGTTTTAATTGGTAACAATAGGAAAATAGGGTTTAGAGGCAATTATGACAACTTTCATAATTCGTTACAAGACAATGGAATGGTTTGATCTGCAAATTTGTGAAAAATCTTATACAAATGGTTCTCTAGAATTAGTAAATATCAATTGTAAGCACATTCTAAGTACATCGGCAATGTATATTTGTCGCGGAAGTCAAAACATCCGTTATTATTGACGTTAGACCCCATAGACAAAGTTTCCTTATAAACCGTTACCATGGCAACGCAAAAAGGCACAAAATACATCTGAGATTGTAGCTCTTATGGATTAACAAGCGTTGGCCAAATACTAACCCATTTTCCCGATTAAGTAAAAAGATATGATTTTTCAAAGTTTTAACCCTGTGCGAAAATGCTGAAATTTGATGCTTCAAAATACCCCCCAACCCCCTCAGAAATCGCAGCGTACCAAGTCACTGACCCCACAATTTGTAGATCCGAATGTCGAATAAGTGATCTGTGGGTATTTGGCTATCTGAATCTGTTGTCAAACCTTTTGTGTGGTGGGGGTGCTACGTAACCCATGTTTTGGGCCTCTTTTAGAAATCTGCTCCTCGACTATTCACAGGAACTCGTTGAAACGTGTCCGTACGTTCCAGATCGAATTGGAATTTGGAAGTATTGGTTTTTAAATTAAGGATAGGGGAAAACCGGAGTAACCTCTCAGAGCAAGGTAAAGAACTAAGAACAATCTCAACCCACACCAGGATTCAAACCCGGGCCGCATTGGTGGGAGGCGAGTGCTCTCACCTCTGCGCCACCCTTGCTATATCTACAAAAAATGAAAAATGGCTACGAAAGCTTTAAAAAGCTGTCGTACATGAAGATTATGACATGTAAAAGACAGGTAAATAACGTTTATTATGATAATTGAACTGAGTGGAGTGCAATTTGGTCTGATTTCAAAATCGGACGAGAGCGAAGCACAAGTATGATTTCAGACCAAAACTACACGACACGAAGTTCAAGTACCATTAAATTACAGCCATTTTAAAATCGCAGAATTCAGTCAGTATCAATATTTTATTGATCTCGCGCGTAGCCGGTTTGTTCAAAAGTAGAAACAAAAAGGCTTTTACATCTCATTTTGTATTCGAAACAGAAATGATGGGATATAGAGCAAAAATGGAACGATTCAAAATATAGAAATGACGCGATTTAGAAGATATCAGGGGCACCCAACGAGGATATAGTTCAAAACCACTTAACATAGCATTGTTGAGCGTATTTTAGTATTCAAAGGGTCGATATAGGCATATTTTTATCCCCTAAAAACTTTTCATCTGTTCGGATTTCCTAGCTGAAAGTCTAGTGATCCGAAAATTATAGGGATAAAAACTTATTTTCTAGAAAATTTCAGCCAGGAAAAGGCTCCCGAAAAATCTAGGTGGCCTTTTTTAGGGTCAAAATCCGTTAAAAATGGGTAATTATACCATCTTGTAGATGTTCGAAAATCCTAGGAGAGGCAGGCAAGCAAGAAATTTTACAACAAATGCTCCGAAAATTCTAGATCTCAAATCGTCTTCCGAACAGATGTTTTCCCGAAAATTGCCGTTGGGTGCCCCTGAAGATATGTGATATAGAGCAAAAACATAGAGTGACTCGTGAATGACTCACACTCCTGAGAGCTGATCAGGTTACAGGAATCACTAGTGATTTCAAAATTGATATAATAAATTACCAAATGGCATTTGTCTTACCTCCAAGCTTTGCTTTGTATGCTAACCCTACTCCACAGTTCGAGTTATTAAATACAGCAGCAATGACACCTGCACTTTTTTCTCCGTGTCTGCGGGATGAAAATTAGTGCAAACAACATATGACCAGTTCGTGAGTCAGGAATTTATAATCTGAGGCGGTTAAATCAATGTATGATGCTTTACATTTCTTCTAGGTGATGATTTCTTCATAGATCATAGATAGTTAAGCCGCTAAACAGAGTCCCAGCAGACACTTTTGCAGGAAAATTGCATCTTGCAATGCGACCTATGCCTTACTGATGAGTTTAAACTGTTTAAAGTTTAATATATTACCAAGTACACGCTCTTAATAATTTACTAAACCGTTTGGAAGTTTATTAAAACAAGTTCTAAGCTACATATTTTGAGAAAAAATTGAAAAACGCTTCATTGACTTATTGTTGATTTTTAAACATTATGTCCCATGTTTGAAATTAATGCCTGTTAAAATGATACAATTAAAGCCTCAGAAGTTTAACTGCGGTTCCTAAAACTGTCGAATAACCCTATCGTCACTACTGGTATAACAAAAAATGCATAATAATAGAGTGTGCCAAAACAATTTCTTTCTAGAGATGGCAAAGCCCACGAAAAGAGAGAAAGCTCTAATATAGTCAGTCTCTTTATTAACATACTGAAGGCTATAGTCGACTGTCGGAGTGGTTTAGAGACCTTTAGATCCGAGGACGAGGACGATTACGAGCACGAATTTGACTTAAAGTTTTTTCGCGTATTCTCAAAATATATACTTCCCGGAAAGCTTTATTTTACCATTTTTCACTAGAAAAGTTAGCACTGTTATCTTAAGTGAAAGAGGTTACTCGCTCTCCCGATTGCAGAATGATAATTAAAAACTTCTAACATTTGGTATCTTGTTTTCGTCATCACGACATTCGCGCTAAAACTCGTAGTGACGACGGCTACCACCTTTTCCCGCCAAAATGACGCTGCTTCACACGCGAGCACTACTTAGTATTCAGAAAATCTCGTAGTCGTAGTCGTACTTGTCTCAGAATCTAAAGCTCTCTAAACAAAAATCACCGGTCCCCTGCGAAAATGGGTGTTTCTTTCTGAGGGACAATAAATAAACAATAAATTACCCATATTGCGGTTCGTTAGTTGATGACACAGGGACAGAGTCATTGTCAACCACGTCCAAACTCGCATTCTGAAAAGAAACAGGGAATGTATGTTATTGATAGATCGTTTCGAAAAGAATCAAATTAACAAGCAAAGAATAATTAAAGAAACTTATCTTATTATTCATTCAAAATATTTTCCCGATTCTGATTGGCTAAAAGCACACGCAAAATTCACCATAACCAGCTACTGATGACCAAATTTTGAAGAATTTTGCGTTTAATGAACCGATGACGTCAAAAGTGCAGCTTTCTTGCGGGTTAATGCACCATTAACCGCGAAGACCTGGGGGCGAGGTTAAGTTGTTTTGATTGTAGATTAAAAAAAATGGCGGACATTTCACTCGTTTGAAGAGTAAGAACTAGGCGAAATAATAGCCAAAAACATGACAAGAACAGCAAGAGGACAACTCGAAGGGCGACATCTGCTATTTGGAGAATATTTGCGGAGCTGAACAACCCTAAAAGTGCACTATCGAAGATGAACTGAACATCGATGGAATTGTTTTGAATGAATAATAGAACAATTATTGAATTCGGCTTTCGTATCAAGTGAAGAATTATGGAGATCGAGGAGAGTGTTATCCGTCGAGGCCGTCCTCGATCTCCATAATTCTTCATAAGATACTCAGCCTCATTCATTAATTGTTAATTATCTTTTTATGGTACCTGCAGATTTTATAGTAAGCGGGACAATAAAAATTCAAAAGTAGGTTGAGTTTGATCGTTCGGGTGAACGTAGTCCTGAACAGGTCTGTTGTTGTTGACAGTGACTGACGTTTCGACAACCCGTGCGGTTGTCATCTTCAGAGTCAAAGTGAGTTGTATCACGTCAGTTGATGTTATTATACTCTGGTTATTGATCCGATTGGTCAATTACGTTGCTATGTTATTGGTCGTCTGTCAGTTAAGCCGTGATGTTATTGGCTATGAAGACTCGTAATCAGTAATTGGTGCGTTTCGATCCGTCCATTGTCACAGTTAAACAGTCGTCTATTATTAGTCAAATTGTCAGTTCTCCAGTCGTTCTCTCGTAGTTAGTTTTTCTTGATCTCGTCAATAAGTCGTTTGTACGGCGCTGGTAACTGTTGGCTACGATTCAGTGGCGTTTGTTCTAAGTTAGTAAGCCAGCCTTCTAAAGTAAGACGTTGATAGTAGTCTGAGTGTTGGAATGAGTGTTACTGTGAGTGTACCGTCTAACGAAGTTCTTGTTGTAATTGTTCTTACTTAAAACGTTGTTAAGATAAATCAGTATTTACAATTTTACAATAAAAATTGTCACGAATTCGCCCAATCCCTATAACCGCTCTTTAAAAATGATTTATCAAATAAGTCATAAAAATGCAAATAAAAGACATTAAGTGAATTTCTAGCATTCTCGTGCGGCGGGATGTTACTAAAACAGGAACGGGGACCGGGGAATGAGCACGGGGAACGGGAAAAATGAAAAAATGGGAACAAAACCTCTTTTGAATGCTAGCCTTATCAGAAACTTCATAGCAATTATCA